GAAAGAGGGATGGGCTTTATTGAGGAAAGAACACCTCGTGTTCACATTGCCTCTAAGCTGAGTCCTTTCCTTCACGCCCCGCCTGCTGGCTGTGTGGGGGCCCCTGGCCCCTGCACGAACTAGCTCTACAAGTGGGTGCAGCATTGTTTCCCACTGACTATCATTTTAAACTCACTGCAAAACAACACTGCCAATTACAGGTACATATAGAGAAAAAGAAAAAGTTACCCCTAATTCCACCACTGCTAATATTTAGGTGTATAACTTTATGGATTTTCTCTCCAACACCATACACACTTAAAAAAACAACCTCAACCTGAGATCAGAGTTTAAACTTTGTGTCGTAACCTGCTTCCATACTAAACATGATCTCCATTATCACTTTAAGGCTGTATCATATTCCATGTCTAGATATATCAGTGTTTAACTGTTCTAATGATGGACATTAAGATGACTTCCAATTTTTCATCATGATAAATAACTGGAGGCCAGGTGCATGAATTCATTCTGGGTGGGGTCTGGCTGGCCCAACCCAATAGGGCCGATTGGGCTGGGCTGGCTGGGCTGGCTGGGGAGCAGGGCCATGGGCGTTGGCTGGCTAGCCCCACCCCTTATCGGGGTGGAGGGGCCAATGGAGGGTGGGGCTGGCTGTGGGGAGGGGCCAAAGGCAGTTGGCTGGCCGGCCCCGCCCCGTGGTCAAACTCCCAGTTGAACTCCTGATCGAACTCCTGGTCAAGGGAACAATTTGCATTTTAGCCTTTTGTGATATAGGATTGTATGATAGACATTCTTGTACCTCTCCCTGGTTCCTCAGAAAAAAAGCCGTAGAAGTAGAAATTCTGGGTCAAAGGGAATAGTGGTCTAAATAGGAAGGTCATAATGGGTGGCAACAGAGGGCGTGCAGATGAGGAAACAAGCACAGCAGCTGCCCAGGCTTTGACTATTGACTGCCAGGGCCAGACTGAGAGCTCAGATTTTCTGAGAGCAAATCACCATTTCTTTTCAGCATCTCTCATTGCATTTGAGACACCTTGATGCTGCAGCCTGGGCCTGGTAACAGGTTTATAGGCTCAGATTCTGTGGGAGTGGGAGGTGGTGTTTGAAATTACTGGCTCATGTGTTATTTTTGTGGTGTCAGTTGAGAAGTAATCTCTACTCAGGTGTCTGAAGCACATTGCAGGCTGGGTAGTGTTTCCCAACTTCCTGGACCAAAAGATCCCATGGGGCTCCCACTGACATACAGCCTCCTGGGTCCCACTCGGAAGCTATTGGAGCAGGCTCTCCAGGGCAGGGCTGGGGTAACCTGTTCGACAAATACACAGGTGCGGCTTATGGTCAGGAAGATGGGGAAATATCTGGAGAGAGGGAGGCAAGAACATAAGTGGCTGCCAGTGGTAACCTCTTCATGGGAATTAACTGGTTATGTCTCAGTGGAATTGGGGAGAGGGAGGAAAATCCAGGCTAAGCAGGTGTGGGGATAGAGATAATAAACAGATACGGATTCCAGCAGTGGCTGGTATTAATAGTCACTCCTAAGCACATTTTCCCAAGATGGTACCCTTTCTGCAAATGTGAAGGTAATCTGTTACCACCATCGTTAAGGCTATGATGAGAACGTAGAGGTAGGAAAGTGGAGTGAGACTTGAGGTCTGTTAAGAAGGTGGTTGGAGAGGTAGCAGGTCAACGCTGGCTCTTCCTCCCAGGCCCTACCCTAAGGCTCACTGCAAGACTGTGTTCTCTGGAGTGTGGGGCTTGCCTTGGAAAGGGCACTCAGGCCAGAGCCCAAGGCCAAAGGCCTTGGGAGACTAAGGGGGAGCACGACGTCCCCGACAGGAGGCGTGGAGAGAAGAGGACCACCAAGGGAGCTGCTGAAGGTGGTGAGGTGTGAGGTTAATTCCCTTTGCCTCGCCTGGCCCAGCCCAGGCTGTGATCGGGACAGTCCTGACCTGTAAAAAGCATTCCCGCAGAAGTGCCCAGGCCGCCAGCTTTGGGGATGAGGAAGAAGCAGCTGTTCCGTGATGAACCACTGTCTCAGATCACTAGCTGGGAAACAGAAATCCTTACAGAGATGATTATATCCTCACTGCTTTACTAGATAAACAGAGGGGTCGCTTTCAAATGTGTGCTCTCCACATTCTTTTCAAAGAGCCCTTTGAAGTTTGCCAATTTATGACTAAAGGTGCCCTCTCTCCTCTCTGGGGCTGCCCTGGCCTCGCCTGGGTCCCCAGGAGGCCACTCTCACCAGCTCACCACCAGGTATTTCCTGAGGGACTTTTAGGTTGTTACACATGAAACAATGTAGGTTGTGGCCTCACGGGGGGCAGGCCCCCTCCTTATTTCTGAAATGCAGTTCTTATAAACAGCTTATAATTCTTAAACTCCAAGCCTATTGTTTTATTTTTCACAACAATTATAAACATACTAGAGGCCCAGTGCATGAATTCATGCACAGTGGGTTCCCTCAGCCTGGCCTGCAGGATCAGGCCAAAACCAGCTCTTTGACATCCCCCAAGGGGTCCCGGATTATGAGAGGGCACAGGCCAGGCCAAGGGACTCCACCAGTGCATGATCGGGGCTGGGGAGGGACACAGGAGGTTGGCCAGCCGGGGAGGGACCATAGGAGGGCTCCAGGGCGTGTCCAGCCTGGCTTGCTCTGTCCCCATCAGCCAGACCCCAGCAGCAAGCTAACCTACCGGTTGGAGCGTCTGCCCCTGGTAGTCAGAGCATGTCATAGCGAGTGGTTGAGTGGCCTTAGCATATCATTAGCATATTATGCTTTGATTGGTTAAATGGATGACTGGACGACCAGATACTTAGCATATTAGGCTTTTATTATATAGGATTATGTGATGACAGCCTAATGGCATCATCAGGAGATGGCTAGATAAACTGGAGAATTCTCTTCAGGGGCTAAAGAAATGAGTCTGTGGCCCTAGCCGGTTTGGCTCAATGGATAGAGCATCAGCCTGTGGACCAAAATGTCCTGGGTTCAATTCTGGTCAAGGGCACATGCCCGGGTTGTGGACTTGATTCCCCAGTAGGGAGCATACAGGAGGCAGCCAATCAATGATTCTCTCTCATCATTGACGTTTCTAACTCTCTCTCCTTTTCCCTTTCTCTCTGAAATCAATAAAAATATATTTAAAAAAAGAAAAAGAAGAGGGTTTGTGGATTCAGTTGGAACTCTGAATATGGATATTAAAAATGTCCACAATAAAATTGGAGTTTTAAAACTGTAATTAGTATGTTTCCATATTTTGCTTTAAAAAAGAGAAAGAAACAACCACCTATGTGTGTGTCTATACATTTATGTGTCTGTATGGGAATAGAAAAAGGGTATTTGCATTAAAAGTCTAGAAGGGTAGGCCAGAGAGCTGAGTGGGCTCCTGGGGAGAGCATGCAGGCCGGAAGGCAGTCCCCCGAAGGGGCCAACTGGGCAGCTCACCACTGTGTGTTCTGATTTGTTTGTGCTCCTGCTTCACTGGTCATGTATACAAAACCAAATGTGGGTGTTCTGAGTCCGAGTTTGTTGTCTCTCAAAGCAGAAGAACAAAGTTGTGGACAAACATGGTTAGTGGAACACAGTTTATCGAGAGCATCCATGCAAATTAAAGTCTGTTAGTCCACGTGGGTACCAGGGAAGGTCAGGAATCCATTGCTGCAGGGGAGAAGAGAGAGAGAGAGAGAGAGAGAGAGAGAGAGGAAGAAAACATACCTTTAAATTTAGGGAGTGGATACAGCCTTGCTAGCTCCTGATTGGTCTTTTCAAAGAATTTTGTCTTAGCAACATCCTTAGGATTGGTTTATATGCCTTACTGCCTTGTGATTGGTTATCTGCATATTCTCTTAGTATTTAAAAGTTCATGCCTCTCACTTGTGTCCTTACCTGCCCCCGCCCCCCACCTGCCTAGTTGGGTTCTTGGGTTACTTTCCTTCCCGTGGCCCTGCCCCTATCTACCTAGCTTCCTTCTGTCTCCTCATATGTATACTATCCCTAGGAATAGGAATAGGGAGATGGAAGATTCCTGCTCTTTTTACTTTATTTACTTCTGTATTGATTGAATTGTCTTAGTGATAATTAAAATGATTTTAAAGTGATAAGAGCAATGGCAGTCTATCTGATTTAACTATACGTGAGCTATAGACGTGTTCAAACTTCATGGTATAAAGCAGTGGTTCTCAACCTTCTGGCCCTTTAAATACAGTTCCTCATGTTGTGACCCAACCATAAAATTATTTTCGTTGCTGCTTCATAACTGTAATGTTGCTACTGTTATGAATCATAATGTAAATATCTGATATGCAGGAGGGTCTTAGGCGACCCCTGTGAAAGGGTCATTCGACCACCAAAGGGGTCGCGATCCACAGGTTGAGAACCGCTGGTATAAAGTATAACACACAAGTGAATGGCTTTCATCCACGAGGCTTCCAGAGTCCAGCTCCCTATTGTGAGATGAAGTTAAGCCTCAGAGGTTTAGTAACTGCCCAAAGTCACAGAGCAAGTTAGTGGCAGAGCTCCATGAGCAATCAGGACCGATGCGGACTCCCAAGCCCTTCCGGTTGTTATTTCCCATGTGTGAGCACACGTGTGTGCACACCAGGGGGTACTTACACACTTTGTGCTGCTCTTGCAGTTCACTTAGCTTTAAAAGTACAAGATGGCAGTTACTAGAGTCAGCAGCATACGATAAAAAAATATAGAAACTTCCACCACTATGATAATCAGCTTAAAATAGCTTTCAAATGTCAAATGTGAATTTAACTTGGAAAAATAAGAGTATGTCAGTGAGAATGTTCTTGAATACTTATGTTAGTTCCTTTAACAATGTAACTATACTATGTTAATGTTATTTTCCCCTTTGGGTCTTCAGACAGATCCAAACTGGTAAACCTCCTAATGGTGAAGGGCTCAGAAAGAATTAGGATAGAGGAATAAAAGGCTTCATTGACCTGGGGATACAAAGACAGGGCTGCTTAGATAAACAGATGACAGGGCTCAGAAGTTCTCAATGAAGGCTCATTTACATAAAATATCACCACAGTACCCCACAGCTAACAGCTAGGGCAATGGTCAAGACAGAAATGGAGAAAAGATTCCTTGGCAATGCAGCAGATTCCTTATAGTTAATAAAATATAAAATATGTTAAATGTTAAAGTTCTGAAGGATGTGAGGGACTGATTATAAAGGTCCCAATGCCTGCCCCCGCCCCCGCCCCCCACCCTATCCTTTCCACTGTGCTTTGAGTCAGCCTTCTCCGGGCGCTTCTTCCTCGGGCCTCCTGCCTTGGATCTGGACTGCCCTGTGCTTTGCTTTGGCCAGTAGACAGTGATGGAGGTGCCGGTGTGCCCATTCCCTAAGGCTGCCTCTTAGGTGACAGCGGAGCTCTGTTCAGTCTCCCTTGAGGCCTCTCTGTGACCCACCCCTTCCCCCCTGGGCCCCAGCAGGTGTTAATCCACATTTCACACGCTGGGAAGGAGCAGGTGGTTCTCCAAAACCATGTGATTCGATGAGTCTGTAGGAAGGAGGGAAAGGGTGTTTTTATCAAGGCCCACTGCGTACAGGTCCTGTGCAGACTCTGATGCAGATACTTTTGTGATAGGAATAAGAAAAGGAAATGAAGGGTCCTTCAAATGACCCCCTACTTCTCCCCCCGCCCCCACAGGTGATAGCTACTAAATAGAAAGCTGTGTGGGCTGAATGTGTCCCCCACCATACCTCATGTTGAAGTCTTAATACTCAGGACCTCAGAATGTGACCGTATTTGCAGATCGGGTCTTTGCATAGGAGAATAAATTGAAATGAGGTCTGTAGGTGGGGCCCTCATGCCATGTGGCTGGTGGCCTGTAAGAGGAGGAAGTTTGGACACAGACATGCACAGAGGGACGGCCATGTGGAGACACAGGGAGAAGATGGCCTTTTACATGCACAGGAGAGAAGCCTGGAGAGAGTCTCCCTCGCGGCCTGGGGGGAAGCAACTCTCCTGCACCCTGACCAGGACTCACAGCCTCCGGAGCAGAGAGAAACAGGTGTCTGTGGTTTCCGCCCCGCTGTGGTGCTTTGTTAGGGTGGCCCTAGAAAACGAATACAAGTTCCCAGCTTGAAATACAACTCTGTGAATACAAAATGTATTCTCTTTTTACTGTATCATGATAAGGGACAAAACAAATAACAAACAAACAAAAAACAAGTCCCAGTTATTGAGAAGAAAAATATAGAGGAAGGAGAACGTTTGGGAAAATATACCGTATGCATCTGTGAATGCCCTAAAGCAGGGAGGCCCTCTACCTTTCCGCAACCAGTACAGCCATTCCCACTCCTCTTCTGCTTCCCCTACGGCCACTGCCCCGTTGCTACTAAGGTACATCTTGCCCCTAACTGCTCTCCCCTGGTGGCCTGATTGTCCCAAACTGCCTCTGCCTCAGCCCCCACCACCATGGCTTTGTCCAGAAGGAAGTCAGACATCTGGAAGATGGCTGGTCAACCGGTCTAATTAGCATATTCCCCTTTTATTAATATAGATAGATTATATATTGGCTCCTCTGGGAAATCCAGAACAGCCCCGCCTTCACGTCAGCGCCAGCCCTTCAGTCATGCCTCCAGTCTGCTACTGGGTGTATCTCTGGCCACTCTGAGAAGCAGCACCTCAGGTCTGTGCTGGTGGAAATTTTGAATTCTCATCCCTGACCTAACCTTCTTATATGTGAGCTCCATGAAGGCAAGCATTTGTCTTGTTCATTCTTCGTTCACTCATAAACTTTACCTATGTCTGTGCATCTATGCTAGCACTGCATGGTGACCGGTCAAACAGTCACTTCTGTCATCACAGTCACTGCCTTTATATATATATACTAGAGGCCCATTGCATGAAGAGATTTGTGCAATAGGCCTTCCTTTCCCTGGCTGCTGGTACTGGTTTTCCTCCGGCACCTGGGACCCAGGCCTTCGCTCTGGGTGCAGCAGAGAAGCCAAGCCTCTTCAGTCTTCAGTCGTCTTTATTCTTTAGTTGTCTTCAGTCTTCAGTCATCTTTTTTGCTTGGGCGGAGCCTTCAGTCTTCACTCCTTGCCTGCATATGCAAATTAACCTCCATCTTTGGTGGGTTAATTTGCATACCCATCCTGATTGGCTGGTGGGTGTAGCAGAGTGACACCAATTTGCATGTTTCTCTTTTATTAGTGTAGATATATATTAACATATTTTTATTTATATCAAGTGGGAGAGATAGAAACATCAATGATGAGAGAGAATCATCAAACGGCTGTCTCCTGCATGTCCCACACCCCGGCATGTGCCCTGACCCAGGAATGAACTGTGACCTCCTAGTTCATAGGTATGTGCTCAACCACTGAGCCATGTGGGCCAGGCTGATTACTGTAAATTGATTGAAGTCTTCAATTCACAGAAGCAAAACTTAATTAGGAAGGGAAAGGGCATAAGAAAAAAGGAAATTTGTCCAGTTGACAAAGCAGTTGATCCAAGTGTGCACTTTAAATTCACAGCCCCTGCTCAGACCAGCCAGTGTTCACATTGTAAAGAATTTGTTTTTGAAAATCTTTATAAAGCCTTCCACTGTGACAGTGAAAGCCATCTGGTACTTAGAATTTATAAAATATGCAGTTAAGAGATGCCAAGAGATTCCTCATGCAAGCAGATGGCACAATAACAGCTCTGTCTGTTTTTCTGGAATAAAAAATAGGGCTTTGAATAGCTTGAAACTTACGTGAATAAATTAAGCTAATCAATACTTCAGGGACATTACAATTTCAATAGTCAACTTGCCCACCTAAATAATTTTATAAATGTTTTCATTTGGAGAAGAAAAACCAAAAGGGCAGACACTGGTTCCTTTGATTGCTTCATGTTTGTATTTAATGCTTCTAAGGAAAACAAGGCCAGTGACCTTCTCTGTGGGAAAAAGTGTTATATGGGTTCAAAGGAGAAGTGGGTTGTGAAATCTCTTTTAAGTAGGAAAACCCCACATCAAATAGGTTGTAGAGTTTTATTACTGTGCTAAAGAGAAGACAACATGTCTGAGTGACATTTTATGAATAATGCACTTGAAAATGCAGGTAATGTCTTTACCTCAGCAGACATGTTTCTCATAAACCCAAGTTCAACACCTACAGTGTTGTGTTAGTCTGCCTGTTCTACCCTCGTCTTGATTCCTGCAAGTTTTGTGTGTAACAACAGGACTTTTGTAATTCCCTTTACTTTCTGTATTGTTTTTATTTTCATTAAAATTCATAATAAGATACTCATTAGATAAGGTAATTTTGTTAAGAGCAAATGTTCTGCTTGGATCTTTTCTTTTCCCTTAGTACGTAAAAATGTGCTTCTACCATACAAGTGAATGTCCTCTGTAATTAGACATAAATAGCTTTGGAGAAAAAATATAGTCTGCTTTTGAAGGCCAGATCTCTTGAGGTGCAGGGGACAATCTTGTCACTAAAAAATGTGTTTCTCGGCTACACAAGCTGTTGAATTTCTTTCCCAATTAGAAGTGAATGGTTTTCCAGAACAACAAGTGAGAAACTTGGCTTCCACTTTGCTGGCGTTGGTTTTCTTGGGGTGGAATGGGACTAGTCTTTCCCCCTCTTACCCTCTCTCTGAGCAACAGAACACACAGGACTATTGTTTTATAGGTAGGTCGAAATCCTAGGGGAATTCTCCACCCCAGGGAATTCTCCATCTTCTTGGCCAGGACTGGACTTCACGGTGGATGGGATACCAGGTTAGACCACCCAACTAGCAGGTAGTGCTATTGAAGCAGGAGAGGCCAAAAATTATAAACACAACAAGAAAATTGAAAATGCCATTGCTTTGTGGGGAGGAAGAGAACCATTGGTGGGAGAGTCTCTCTAAGTGTTGTCCCTGGGGTATTGTGAACCCTGATTTCCTCTGGGCCATTGGCAAAAAGAAGTGGTATCTGGGCAGAAGAGCCTCTCAAAGTGAAATAGTTAAATGCTTGAGGTGCCAGGTAACAAACTGAGTTTCTAGATTTTAGGAAAGCAAAGGAGGAAATAAAGCCTACTGCTCAGAACCTGAGTGGCAGCCAGTGAGACACAGAGTCACTGGCAGGACGGTTCTGTAAAGTTATGCTAATATTACTGGGTTGTAGGGCCAGGAGTGGAGGGTTGGGGGTGAGGAGAGGTTGGGAGGGGGGCCCAGGGTTGGTTCCAACAACAATGCTGGAGATGGTCATTGCCAATTAAATCTTATCCTCAAATCTCCCCACTAGTGTGTGTGGGAGGTAGTCTCTGACCTTCTGTAAGTACAGCAGTAGACTGTTGGAACAGATTTAAATATTTATTTCCACAAACCAATACTTCAGAACATACAGCCATTGCCCCACAATTATCCACATTCCTCACAAGGAATTAGTGACTACAATATATGCTAACATATGTTAGTTATTTTCATTAATCTCTGCTTTCATTATCTTCCACCAATTTGCTTCCTTTGGACTTTGGGAAATAAAAAAAATTGACCAAATATTGAGTTGTTGTTCTCTCTATCTGCAAACTAAGCCATGGTCACTCTCTTTTCCCAATTTGTTAAACCATACTTTCTAGTTTGTAAGGATTTTTATCTCATTTCATATTTACTACTGTAAGCTTAGGTGATGAAGATATGATTATGAGCAATATCCCCCAGTGTTATCCACAAAGAAATGGACTCAGATAGCTGGACTAATTTTCCCCAGATCATATGGACTCCAGGTCTTCTAGCTCCAAGTTCAAACCTCTTTCTCACCCTCCCTCATCTTGAAGGGAGGATTTGCAAGTTCAAGATTTGTTTCTACTTCCTCTTCTCCTTCCCCTCCCCCGATCCATTTTTCTTTCAAGGAAGAAGTTTTCCCAAGAAAATGCCAAAAGGATATCAGGATTTTTACCTTAAAAAAAAAAAGAAGCTTGATGTTCTTACCATTTCACAGGAAAGTTGAAGTCTAAGTTGTAGTAAGTACTACTGGAATCAAAAAACTTCCTTCTCTTCTTGTCCTGAATCTCCAGTCCTTCTTCCTTTCCTCTGTAATTGCTCTGCCATCCTCTTTGTTTCCATCCTCATCCTTATTCTCCTTCTCATCATTATCATCATCACCATCATCCTCATCATGTGGTACCAGATTCCTTGTTTGATTGGCACTTAGCATTCTACTACAAATAATCTATATTTGAGAAGCTCTCTCTGGTTATAATAATGTTCAATTTCAGAGTGCATTAATGAATGCAATTGTACCTAAATTAAAGTGGCTCATGCAAAATTGCATTGAGGAACAACATAGTAATTTTTTGGCTTAAATTATACCTTTCTCTCAGAGTACCTGCAATTATGTTTGGATGTTTCACTCTCTCTGGGCATATATATATATATTGCAGGTAAATAATGTTGCCCCCTAGCCACTTCTGCAGCTTCTATGTGTATTCTTATAGGAACCAGAAAAGGGAACAAATACGGACCCTTGGGGCCAGTGACTATTTTGAGGAAACTGCAGATGAAAGCTTTGTACTTGCTCAGAGTTGGCAAATAATTCATTTTGGAATAAAGACTTAGACAAAGAGAGATGAGGTCTAAACAGTTACAGATTTTGAAAATAGAACTTTCAAATAAAATAGAACTGAAAAGAGAACATCAGTTCAGTGGACCATTGTCGAAGCATACTAAAGTTATTGTAGTAATATAGGAAAAATTATGGTGGATTCAAGAGAAAAGACTCAATGCAAAATGGTAGATATTTGATGAGGACTATAGCACAAGAGAATGCATGGGATTATTTGATCAGTCGTGTAAAATGACGGGTTCTGATTTTATTGTAGTGTCCTTAGAGAACATGGCCTGCATGAAGCCAAGTATCTGATATTTGTTGAGACCTGCACTGGTTTTATTAGGTGGGCAATTTTTATAAATATTCTCTATGTGCTTGGAAAGAACATGCACTTTTTATGGAATGCAGAGTTTTATATCTGCTGTTTGATTGAGCTTGTTGTGTTCAAATCTTCACTAATCTTTGGTGTGCTTGATATATTACATTAAGAGGTGCATTGAAATCTCCCACTATAATTGTAGATTTGTTCGGACTCTTTAAGTTCCATTAATTTTTGCTTTCTTTATTTTGGGGCTCTATGATTAAATACATACATGTTTAGGGCCACCATATTTTCTTGATGAGCTGTTCTTTTCATCATTAGGTATTTTGTCTCTTTAGACCTAGTAATTTTTTTGGCTTAAACTGTATTTGTCTGATATAAAGATAGCTATACCAATTTTGTTAGTACTTGCTTGACATAACTTTCCTATTTTTTGCTTTCAGTCTTTTCACAATTTCATAAGATACAGCTGAGTCTTCTAACTGGTGAATTTGGTCGATT